CATTTGACAACTACCAAACTCTGAGTTAATCATATAAGAATGATGTTTCATTTTTGTATGAATAATATTTACATTGGGTTACCTGGGATAACTTGGCAAATGAAGTAAGACGTGTTAATGCATTTGCGGTCGAACCACTTTCCACCTTTCGTCATGCGCACGCAGTCTGTAAGTTGGGCGTGCATGTTGTCTTTAAGTTTGAGTGGTCGTCCTGGAGCCCACTGGTTGTACGCTCCAAGGGGAGTGCCGTCCGCCCACTCAAACGCTCCTTCCTTGCGCTTATCGGAGAGGCCGAGCCAGAATCCGCCATCAAAGCCAGTAGTGGTCTTAAAATGGGATACCAGGAAAGCGTTGGTCTCGGCGTCTCGGGGCATGGCGAGGGTGCCACCATCTTGACGGCAGATTGCACTTGCTTTGCTGGAGACCTTCGCAATGGCGAATGCCTTGTAGCAGATTCCACGCCACTGCTGATAACTTCTTTTGGGACAAGCTGAAAGAAAGACGTTTTGTATGTGTTTATCTTCTTACCTCTCTTTGGGCAATACTAAATACAACGATAAAGCAAGACAACCAACTGTTAGATGAATCATCAGACAGGCTATGGCCAATGTGCAAAACTGTGCTTAGTCAAAGTAAACTGGATACCTGCAACACCAGGTCCCACCAGACCTCGAGGCCCAATTGGTCCTGTTTCACCATTTTGTCCCGGGCTGCCAATCGGACCCCTGGCCCCCTTCTCTCCTGGAGGACCAGGAGGCCCGGCAGACCGAGGGCCAACTGGGCCCGTGGCCCCCTTCTCTCCTGGAGGACCAGGAGGCCCGGCAGACCGAGGGCCAACTGGGCCCGTGGCCCCCTTCTCTCCTGGAGGGCCAGGAGGCCCGGCAGACCGAGGGCCAACTGGGCCCGTGGCTCCCTTCTCTCCTGGAGGGCCAGGAGGCCCGGCAAACCCGGATGAAACACACACCTCTGAAAAATAGATTTGTTTACAAGTTTACAAGGGATAATGAAGAATAGAAGAAGAAAGCTACAATCACTCCACACAACCAATGTATTTTATTGATTTTGGCGAGCATTGAGTTTTTTTACGCATGGACATGCAAATATAACAGGTGAGCATGACTGTTTTTCTCTTACATATGACAGTTATATAATTACAATACACACAACTACAAAAAGTACATATAAAAATCTATTGAAGTTGTACCATATGATAGACATCATACTAACGTTCCAGCTCGGCTACTCGTAGCTCAATCTTCTTTTCCATCTCCACAAACTGCTTTGTCGTTTCCGCTGAGTAATTGGTGACTTTAACTATGTCGAAAGAAATGAGGGGAAAATTGTAAGAATACATGTACGTGTATACGAGCATTTTCAAAAGACAACAAATTACTACAACAATGTTTGCGCTAGGACATTGACGACAAATTTTCAACACGTTGCAAGTATGTAGCATGGCAAGTTAACATTGAAGAGGTTGGGAGTACGTTAAGCTGTGGTTCAAATATTTATTTATATTTATTATATATACATGTATATATACATTAAGCTAGGGGAACTTTCACCGGTACTCAAAACCTATAAATACTGAACGTACATGTCTTCTTTGTCACAAACAGTGGGAGATTAGCTCTTCAATGTACCAAAACTGAATTGAGAACACATTCCTTATGAGATCACTGCCCTTACTTTTCAAACATGACAGGTAAAACAATGCGTGTAAGGAACTTACCTGCAAAGAAAGACAACAGTATGACAATCACTACGGCAAACCCAAAACCTGTGATCTGCCAAATCTTGTTGCGAACGCGCCAACACTTGTTAACGTCCACTGGGTCGTAGGCGGTGTCTGTTTTAAACAATTAAAGAGGAATATGCAATTTCAAAGTCCTATCTGACCATAATGTAAAGTACGGAATATAATGTAACCAATATAATGTAAAGTAATATTATAATGTAACAACATAATATAAATACAGTGTAATGTAAGTTGCATATTATGAATACAAACATAATATGTATATATTTGTATACAAAGAGTCACATGAAGCTCGCACATGCATCTGAAATTATTCAGAGATGGGAAGTTGACATAATTTTGTGCCATGCATGTTGTATAGAAGTATAGGGCTATTGTTACTGAGCATTATAGCATTTGTTAAACTCAGTTTTTAATCTAATAATTTTTACTAGTCTTTGCTTTTAGAGGTAACATGAAAAAAAAGCTGAGAATCAATTGCCATAATGTGATTTAAATAAATATCAAATATCCAAGTACTTAGTAACTTAGAAAAAACCTCATACCCTGATTTGCTAGTGTCTTTAAGTTACAAACGACAAACATAGCGCCAATATTCCCATTCTACTGTGATCGCCAAGTGAACAAGGTTTTAGCAGATCGCTTATTTCATGCTATAAATAGAGAACGAGTTTGTTGTATTTCAAATCATGTATTTTTCCATTTTGAATCATATTCCAAATTTGATATTGTTGGTCACACAAATCCTATTTTAGCCGCTGTTCGGTCGTTCATGAGCTCCTGGAGCTAGTGGAAGGGATCAAAGAAAACAACAGAAATTTGCAACCCAAACTGGAAAGTGTTTACCTGCTCTAGAGACATACAAAGTGTTTGGTATGTTCGCAGTGGCGTCCGCAACCGCCCGCCAATCAGTCTGAGGCTCCTGCTCAGGTGTGTCACCTGGAGAAATATTTCAAAATTAGTCATTTTGCGGAACGACCATGACTGCAAGCTACTGCAAAGGGTTTTCTTTATTTAACTTTTCCAGTGCGAAATCATGGAGTTGTAGTTTACAGGTCTGCATTGTGGGCACAGCCGGGATTCGAACTCATGTCCTCTTGGTCCAGGGCTGTGGAAAGCTTTACACATGGAATCTGTGCCACCGTACGTGTCTGTGCATTACAAAATATCAAAACAAAACACGCTACCTCCTGAGTCTCCAGTCTGGGACTGCTGCTGCCCTCCGGACATGGTGCCTCTTGTCGGATTTCTGGACTGCAAAAACACGTCCTACACCAGGCAGGTGCTTTAACAACAATGAGCAATTTTACCTCACATGAATAAAATAAAAAACGAAAAATAAAAGCATGAAAGTCCTTGTAGAACGTCCTTGATAAAAGCAAAGCAAACAGATTGCACGATTTACAAACATAAAACTTCTCGGGGGCGAGACTTATCAAATGAACACGTAATTATTTAGTTGCTACATATTGAGTTATTGTTATATTGATGTCTCTTTGCTTTGAAAAAAATATATTAAATATAATTTGCATTCATGTAAACAACACACTTACTATACTAATGTGAGGTAAAAATTGAGTACGGTAGTTATCAGTCTCCTTATTTTGGGGGATAGAATAGGCCTACGATACAAAACAAGCAACCGTTTTCCGTAAATGACATCACATTTTGATCTTACAGATATCAGCATACCAGGGGATAGGATTTATTCAACTTAATATATTTTATTTAAAGAATAACCAGAACTTTTTGACATTTTCCAATGTATATTTTTTCAATCTGGATATTTCAATTTTTGGTGCAAAATATAACATAATGCCCCTGTAAAAACAAAGATGTAAGCAAAGCAAGCAGATTGCTCGATTTGTAAACATAAAACGTTTTACAGACGAGACTAATTACATGAACATGATTGTTTTAATCGCTTTATGTTGAAGCCAATCGGCTACTAAAGGAGTTACCGCTGTATTAAATTCTTTAGATAAAATGGTTTTATTACTTGAATTAAATGATTTATCAATTTATTTATCAAAAAAATGATTACGCTAAACAATCTAGGTAAGAAACAACAGGGAAGTCAGGAAAGTGATTCTGTTTAAAAATCTAAAATCATATTTTAGTTGGCTCCAAGGCAGTTAATAATATTTTCAATTAAGTATTGATCATATGTATATAAGATTGCTTTTACATATCATGTTGGTAATTCTTTTGGTTCTGTATTCCTTATAAGAGTAAATGTAAAGTAATTTTCTTACAAGTAGGCATGGCTCCTACATATTGCTAAAACAACAACTAAAAAATGTATAGCACTCATAACCAAAGGTCTTTAAAGAACCATAGTGTAATCTCAAAAATTAGAAGTCTGTTTTTCATTTTCTCTTTTACTGTATAGTTCTCCCACGTTGATTATGGTGTCATGAGATGAGAAGACAATAAAATGAAAAAGCCAAAACTGAAGGGATGGTTCTTCCTGCCCACCAATAGATAAAACCAGTCGACATTACACTTAAAGAAATACATCCAAGTTTTTTTCCCAATTACCGGTTGGTGCATACTTTCTAGTGCAATTATTTTGCATCTGCCTATCATTCTGCTAAAGCTAAAAATAACACTTCATTCTTATTAAAATGCTCAGAATATTCAAATTGTCTGTCAAACATTGCAGGTCTGAGTAACACTCATCAAATTAGACGTTCTGTGTTTCAACTTTGTAGGGCAGAATCTGCCTCATACATAGCCCTTAAATGTTTTTACATAAATTGTAATCAATTATTGTCTAATAAATGCAATATAGACGCATTAAACTTGAGCAGAATCATTTGAATCACTTGACATAAGTAGTATTCCAAATCCACTTAAACTGATATTTACACGCATTTTATGTTATTTTACAAGAACATTTGTATTAATGTTTCGTACCTGGTACTAACGGTTCTAACGTTATATTCAAAAGGATGGTAACTTATCATAGACATACATTGGTCATAAAGAGTACGTATAGCATATACTAGTACATGTGATAATGGAGTGTTTGTGACACTGGCCAGTCTCATATTCTCAGTACGTTACTGAAAGTTATAATTGAAAACTACATTCCTATACACAACATTCTTTTCTCCCCAATTTTGATAACATATCATTTCTTCCAACTGTACTCCAACTGTACAACTTCAATTCTTAAAAAACATGCTTAGCTAGAACATTCAAAAAAGCCTTCCTACTTGGTTGAATGAATCGTTCATGATCCCAGGCATCACATTTGCTACCCCAACTGAGTTCTAACATGTATTGGCATTTTTGTTGTCAACAATTCCTGACACATTGATAACTTTTTGACGCTGGAAAGGTTGTTCAACAGGGCGACATTTATCAGTCTGTAAGTACATGACATCTGCCTTTTGACAAACTTGTTTTCGTCCATTTGTGACACTATGGCTAAAATGACTGGGAGTGCAATTTCTTTATATATTTTTCCTAGGGTGAACTGGCTAAGCTTGCCCTCTTCTTCATTTTAGATTTGATGCCACTTGCCAACCTGGCTACATCAACAGTACCGTCTGTACAGTCCAGGTATGTCAGGTGAGCTAACTCAGTAGGGATCTCACACCCAGACTTCAAAATGGGCAGTACACAGTACTTGTCACTACTCAGTTCTTTCTCAATGGCTGCCTTGAGCTCAACCTTACACCAGTTACTGGACAGAAAGTTCTGGGAGAGAACTATGAGAATCTTCCTACTGTTCGCTACTGCCCAGTCGATGTTGTGTGCGGTCGACATGCCAATATTGAAGTTCCTGTGGTGGACACAGATCTTGAGGTTGTGTGGTGGAGACTCCAACTGCTGGACCCACTCATCCACCCAGGGGAAGTCACGCTGATTGGCTGACACGAAGGCGTCAAACCGGAACTTCCTCATCCAACGAAACACTGTAAGGACAAGAAATAGAAGACTCTTAGATTTTATAAATACCATAACCCAAACTATGTTACCCAATTCGATAACACCTTGCACCGTTTGGCGTTCAGAGTGTGAGAGCAAAAGATTTTCAGCAACATTTTAAATCTGGGATTTGATTTTTACCATAACAATCCAAAGGGTTCTGTTCATATTACTCTACAGACTGAGTCAATGATAAAGCTTTAATAGGTCGTGTTTAAGATAGTCAAATCGAACGATCTAGCTATAGACATGCGTTTTGGATCTTATCACCGAGAAATATGGAAGAGCCTACATCAAAAGACCATACAAACCTGGTGACGATATGAACAATTGTTGGAACCTTTTGACAAAGGACATGCGAACTGTCACAGTGCTGGCCCCAACCTAGAAAAGACAGAAACATTCATCATCGACCCGGAATACGTTATTGAAAATGTTTGAAAAAGTAATCAAATTTACATCATTAGTATAAAATATTAAAGCTGATTGAAAGCTAAGATTTGAAGAGGATCAGCAAGCAAAAAGAAATCTCCAGCAGACATTTTGAAAAGCATTTATATGAAACGTCTTTGCTATTGTTTGCAGGCAGAAATATGAAATTTCAAAGCTATTGGTTCAATTGGTTCCTGATCAAAAACTTTCAAAAACCAAGGTGTATAGTTTTACTACCAACGGACCACGCTTTCTTCAATAGCCTAAAATCGGTCATACTTACCCTTTTCTCTTCTTTCTTTTCTTCCATGCCTTTCTCATCCGTCTTTTCTTCCACGCTTTCCTCTTCCTTCTTCTCCTCCACGCTTTCCTCTTCCTTCTTTTCTTCCACCTCTTCAACGTTTGTGTCGTCTTTCTCCTCAACATCGTCTGTCACGTTGGCAAGAGTTCTCTCCTCTGTTAGCTTCTCCAAAACTAGCTCTGCAACATAAGGACAAGAAAGCTGAACATGTAGAAATTTACGACGAATCAATCGTCATATGACATTCATATCACCCTCACTTTGGCTCCATCTTCGTCCAAAAGGCTGCATCCAGTCTAAGCCTCCTCCACCCTTCCTTTCTGTTAAAGACCTGACATTTAAGTCTTTTGAGTCAATATATAAAGGTGACAAAAACAAGATTGGAACGTCTAACTGACCTGCCACATCTACCATCTGCATGTTGTGCAGTGCCCACCACACGTCAAAGATGTTTGGCCAGTACGTCTGCCTGTCCAGCCACAGCAGCAGACTTTCCACAGCCATCTCCCTCAGACCTCTCAGGTTGATGTTACACCTTCGTTCGATGTCGTCCAACTCGACATTCCTGATATCCAGGTACCGGGCGAGCTCCCGCCATCTCAGGCCTACGTGTTCACTCAAGACTGTTGTGATGATCGTCCGAATGATTCTCTAGAGAGTAAGAGACAAAGATCAACTTCAATGTGAAATAGATTGGTCAAAGAGGAGATGTTATGAGACCAAAATTAGAGAAAACCTACCCTAAGAATTAACGTGAAACCATTTGTAGGAAATCAGTTGTGCATTTATGGCTGAAACTTACCTTCTCTGCTTGCTGTCTTGCTTGAATCGTAGCTTGATGTGTTGAAAGCTCTGTAGGAAGCTCGATGCCGGATTGCTAGGATTTAGAATAGTCGATTATATTAATGCGGGGGACCAACTTGCTTTTTCAATCTAGCGGTCTTGTGTGTTCTTTGTCTAGGATTGCACATTTGCAACCAGTTTTTGGAATGTTTCTGAACGTACTATTATTTAATCCGGCCCGGGAATAGGACATTATATACAGCATATTAGGCAACTGGCTGAAACCTGTAAGGTTGGAACTTGTAACCTATCAAATATGCCATTGGAAATGAGAATAAAAATGCCTCATAGAAAAAAACAGGTTTAATTACTTTGCTAGCTATCAGCCTGTTGTTGGCACTCCACAGCGTGTAAGCCACAAGATTGTGACTTGCTTCCACAGCAACATCATAGGGATCTCTCTCCCCACTCCCCATTTCCTAAGGGAAAAAATACAAAGGAATGTTTATGAACAATATGCATAGAATGTCTATTTGTGTACAATTCATCAGTTTATCATATCATATCATATCATATCACAATATTTGCAAAGCTGTTCGTTACTTAACAACATGAGGCCGCGATTAAATCTGCAATCATATAGCGATATTCTATCGTGTGAAAGTATACCTGACCAACGCCAAATCGTTAGGAATTTTTGTTGACATGTTGGTCTGACTTAGATGTATTAGCTCCCAATCATTACATGCATTAATACCAGTTTATTCAACCTAATGCTATAGACGTGTAGGTAAAGCAACTGGAGCCTCTTTGGGCATTAATGAAAGGTTTAACGTCAGACGAATAACGGAGGAATAGTCCCATAATAAGCATTGCTAAGAGAGCTTAAGACAAATAACCCTTATAGCCTTATATCCTTAACGTTTGTTGCCTTCGCCAAGAAGGTTATGTTTTTAGTAGTGTTTGTCCGTCTGTCCGTTTGTCTGTCCGTCTGTGAACAACATAACTCAAAAAGCTTAATATGCATTGTCATGAAACTTGGTAGGTGGGTAGGTCTTAACTAGAGCTAGAAATGATTAGATTTTGGGCCCCCTGGCGGCTTTCCTAGGTGCTGCAGCAGAACTTTTGATATCTCGTGATCTGGACATGCCAGCGTCACGAATTTAGATAGCTCTTGGGCTAGGGAAGAAGTGACATGGGTTTGGCCCCCTAGCGGCTTGTTCTGTTTGTTGAAAAATCTTCGAAGGAGGATATAACTCAAGAACCGGTTGACCGAATTTCTTGATTCTTGGTATGTAGGTAGCTGAGGTGATGCTTGACAAAACAAGATGACACTTATGCAAATTACGAGCTAATTTGCATAATTAATGAGGAAATTCTATAAATCTGCTTCGTTCGATAATAGTACCATGAAACACTTGTGACATGTAATAGAGAACTAGAACAACATCTGAAGATATAGATTATGTAAGTGAAGACGTAATTTGCAAAATTAATGAGACATTCATATAATTTCATATTAGTAACTGCTGGGAATTTCATACTTGCCGCATTTGGAAGTTAAGTGAAAGTGAACAGCAATAAACATGACGATATTTGCATAATTTATGAGGAAGTGCCAGAATAGCCTTTTTTGCTAAGATCATGCTGTCATTGGGTGGGGAATATGATTAATGGATATAACCCATGTAAAAGTGATGCTCTTACATGTATTTGCGAAATCTATGAATAGAATTGTATAATTCGTCCACCGATCAACATCATTTAGCGAAGGTATGAGATCGTGGAACTCTTGTTTATATGGTAACGTTATTTTTCTTTGCTGGGGAGTTGTTCATTGAGAAAACAAACAGAAAATTGAAGTGCAAAAGTAAATACGAACTTAATGACATGAAACATGTACAGGGCATTCCTGAAAAGCAGTGTCTTTAAATAGCACTGAGGTCTCTACCCTGTATAAATAAAACAGAAATAAATAAATACCTTGATCATTGCTTGGCATGTTGTGTCTGCTCCTGCGCTGACAAGGAGATTAACGATGTTCAGGTTACCCAGGACTGCGGCGAAATGGAGCGGGGTCACATCTGTATACTTCTTATTAGAATCCAAGTCCTCAAACTGTTGAGAAGAAGGCATGATCAACTGTGGATGATGTTGCAACAGCTCTACATTGGTTTGTCTAAAAATATCAATTCATCATGTGGAGTTTGGGTACGGTAGATCCTATAGAACGCCCTATGTACATCTGTGTGCAGACTACCAGTTTAATGAGCTCTGGTTGTTGAATTCTAAATGTATTTTTTTGCTGTCTTATACGCATATTAAAGATGGATTGTACATTTCAACATACGCTGTTATCATTTTCAAGTACTAGTATTTGACATATTCAATACAGGATACATAAAGTTTAATTCGTTTAGGTTCATGTGGAAGTGGGTCAAGAAAAGCAACTAATGTACGACATTAGCCTTAACTATAAATAATTATCAATATGGCGAGTTTTCCTTTTTGTGTTGGAACAAAGTTCAGACTCTAAAACTATAACAATACTTGTGTATTTTCAGCCTCCTGCAACAACAGGAACTGGGTCTTATTGAATAATTTATTGAACTGCCCTCGATTACCTGTGGTGTTTGGTATAAGAAGTTGGAGAAGTTAAGGAACACATTCCAGTTACCTAATATTTTGTGTAATATCCATATTTGGTACATGCAACCGTTGCAACATTATGTAATCATGACGTGTACCACGACTCTCGCATGTTGTATTGTCATTTTCGTGGATAGTGACCAGTGTCTAACTTTATGTCGTTAAGATATTTACCATTAATTTCTGGTTGATGGCGCCTTTACTTTTGACAAGAAGTACGCCGATGACGTCAAAGTGATTATAAGCTGCTGCTCCGTGGAGTGCCGTCAAACCTTGATATGCTCCCTCATTGACAGTACCCTGGAAAATACAATTAACAACAATCCATGTTCAGAAAGCAACATTTTCACATTATAGTACTGTAATGACCTAACATTCTATGGCACGCCCTCAGTGCATTCTATTCCTAATCCACAAACGCATTGTGTTGTTTTGGGAGTACTCAAGCAGGGTATTTGTCGATCAATGTATTGCTTCAGTCAGTCCGTATGATTCGTTGATATATTATATATTATAAAGCAAAACAGATATGTCGTAACTAAAAATTGTTCGATTTTTATAATAAAGCGAGTTCAGGCTGCCATCGTTAACATTAAATGTCTGAATTATAGCGACATCTATACTTCCCTCCTCTCAGGCATCACGGAGGGATATATACATGTATTTCATTGTGTTGATCCTCTCTTGAAGCTGGTGTGTTACGCCGAAAGCCGCGCGTGGAACCCCGGTAACCTGATGCCCCTCCCCAAATTGGGAACTTTACCCTAGAATTTGATCGCCGTGTACTGTCTCCATTACCTGCAGACACTTGTCCACGTCTACTCCAGACTTCAGCAGCTGCTGCACAACTTCCACATGTCCCTCCTGGACTGCTATATTCAGTGGAGTGGCCCCATCCTGTGTGTGATCATGAGTAGAACTTAATGAGAATGAATACCGGGAAGTAGAAGAAAGTTCCATACAACATGCGAGTCTACAATGCTAAATGTGATCTGGTTTTGCACCAATCTTACCTGCCTAGCCTTGTCCACGTCTGCCCCAGCCTCCAGCAGCTGCTGCACAACTTCCACATGTCCATTCTGGGCTGCTATGGACAGTGGAGTAGCTCCGTCCTGTGTGTGATCATGAGTAGAACTTGATGAGAATTAATATCGGGAAAGAGAAAGTTCCATAGAGTATGCGAGTCTAGAATGCTAAATGTGATCTCGTATTCTATCCATCTTACCTGCTTAGCCTTGTCCACGTCTGCTCCATCCTTCAGCAGCTGTTGCACAACTTCCACATGTCCATTCTGGGCTGCCATGTACAGTGGAGTGGCTCCGGTCTGTGTGTGATCATGAGTATGAGAATTTGATGAGAATGAATATCGGGAATTAGTAGAGCGTTCCATACAACATGCGAGTGCACAATATTAAATTTTGTTTTGTATCCATCCTGCAAGTTCTGTACAACGAGTGAGCTCCTATGCTGATGGTGATATCATTTTCTATCCATTACCTCCTTAGCCTTGTCCACCTCTGCTCCAGCCTTCAGCAGCTGCTGCACAACTTCCACATGTCCATTCTGGGCTGCTATGTACAGTGGAGTGGCTCCGTCCTGTGTGTGATCATGAGTAGAACTTGATGAGAATGAATATCGGGAATTAGTAGAGCGTTCCATACAACATGCGAGTGCACAATATTAAATTTTGTTTTGTATCCATCCTGCAAGTTCTGTACAACGAGTGAGCTCCTATGCTGATGGTGATATCATTTTCTATCCATTACCTCCTTAGCCTTGTCCACCTCTGCTCCAGCCTTCAGCAGCTGCTGCACAACTTCCACATGTCCCTCCTGGGCCGCTGTGAACACTGGAGTGAATCCGTTCTGTGATTTAAGAGCAGACATGCAAAAAGTTCATGTGAGCAAACATGAATGGATTTTTCATGCGCGATGCCCTAAATGAAACTCTTCCTTTTGCAAGGGAGCAAAATCTATACGACGTAGCAGATAAATGTGATGCTATACGTCACGTCTTACCACATCAGCCTTGTTCACGTCTGCTCCAGCCTGCAGCAGCTGCTGCACAACTTCCACATGTCCCTTCTGGGCTGCTATGATCAGTGGAGTACCTCCGTCCTGTGTGGGAGTAGTACCGTATGAGACTTTCCGACACAATAACCCACATAAGCTTTTATTCAACAGAGAGCAACAAAATTTATTGCCCAAAGGCTCAGTGGTAGATGACTGGAATGTAAGGTCCCACTGTTTTTTTCCATCTTACCTGTTTGGCCTTGTCCACCTCTGCTCCAGCCTGCAGCAGCTGCTGCACAACTTCCACATGTCCCTTCTGGGCTGCTATGATCAGTGGAGTACCTCCGTCCTGTGTGGGAGTAGTACCGTATGAGACTTTTCGACACAATAATCCACATAAGCTTTTATTCAACAGAGAGCAACAAAATTTATTGCGCAAAGGCTCAGTGGTAGATGACTGGAATGTAAGGTCCCACTGTTTTTTTCCATCTTACCTGTTTGGCCTTGTTCACCTCTGCTCCAGCCTTCAGCAGCTGCTGCACAACTTCCACATGTCCATTCCAGGCTGCTACGATCAGTGGAGTGGCTCCATCCTGTGTGTGATCATGAGTAGAACTTACCGTGGCCGACAAGAACAAAATTTTACACCGCAACTTTTGGTGTTTTACACTGCAACTTTTGGTGTTTTACACTGCAACTTTTGGTGTTTTACACTGCAACTTTTGGTGTTTTACACTGCAACTTTTGCTGTGTTTTACACTGCAACTTTTGCTGTGTTTTACACTGCAACTTTTGCTGTGTGGAAAACTTACACCCCTCCCCTTTTATAATGGACGGTCCCCCTGTCAGGTCAAAGGTGACAACGATGGCATGCAAACTACGTCGACTGAGTTTAATATCCTTTTCGTGCATAAGTTTTTTAGAGGAAAAGCTTGGGTACGTTGTGACGTTAGTTTTTTTCTAAAGGTTTTTCTAGCTTTGGCCTATAGATCGGGATAAATTTAAAAATGTTTCGACCAGGTCCAGTGATTACAAATTATGTTGCTTTTTGCTGCCATGCGTCACAACAAATTTATCAAGGACGTCAGATATCCAGCTCCAGACAAATTTGTTGTGACGCATGGCAGCAAAAAGCAACATAATTTGTAATCACTGGACCTGGTCGAAACATTTTTAAATTTATCTCGATCTATAGGCCAAAGCTAGAAAAACCTTTAGAAAAAAACTAACGTCACAACGTACCCAAGCTTTTCCTCTAAAAACTTATGCACGAAAAGGATATTAAACTCAGTCGACGTAGTTTGCATGCCATCGTTGTCACCTTTGACCTGACAGGGGGACCGTCCATTATAAAAGGGGAGGGGTGTAAGTTTTCCACACAGCAAAAGTTGCAGTGTAAAACACAGCAAAAGTTGCAGTGTAAAACACAGCAAAAGTTGCAGTGTAAAACACCAAAAGTTGCAGTGTAAAACACAGCAAAAGTTGCAGTGTAAAACACAGCAAAAGTTGCAGTGTAAAACACCCAAAGTTTCAGTGTAAAACATCAAAAGTTGCAGTGTAAAACACCAAAAGTTGCGGTGTAAAACACCAAAAGTTGCGGTGTAAAATTTTGTTCTTGTCGGCCACGGTAAGAACTTAATGAGAATGAATACCGGGAAGTAGAAGAAAGTGTGTGGGAGTAGTACCGTATGAGACTTTTCGACACAATTACCCACATAAGCTAAATTATTCAATAGAGAGCAACAAAATCTATTGCGCAAAGGCTTGGTAGATGACTGGAATGTAAGGTCCCACCGTTTTTTTTCCATCTTACCTGCTCCGCCTTGTCCACTACTGCTCCAGCCTTCAGCAGCTGCTGCACAACTTCCACATGTCCCATCCAGGCTGCTATGATCAGTGGAGTGACTCCGTCCTGTGTGGGAGTAGTACCGTATGAGACTTTCCGACACAATAATCCACAGAAGGTTTTATCCAATGGAGCAAGAAAATTTATCTCGCAAAGGTTTTGTAGATGACTAAGTGTAAAGTCCCAACGTTTTATCCACCTTACCTGCTTAGCCTTGTTCACATTTGCTCCAGCTTTCAGCAGCTTCTGCATAACATCCCCATGTCCCATGAGGGCTGCTAGTAACAGCGGAGTGTGACCATCCTAAGGACCAGTAGAATGTGATAAGTCTTCAACGGAATTGCTTATATTGATAATATTTAGTAAAGCAGGTCAATGAATTAATTAATGTACATAATAATGGACCAGGTACTAGTGGATATCATGTTAGCTATTCATCCATGCTACCTCATCAGTCTTGTCCACTTCTGCTCCAACCTCCAGTAAACGCTGCACCAGTTTTACATTTCCGTTCAGGGCTGCCTCGATCAGTGAACCGCTAGTGGCCACATCCTGTGGAGCAGTGGAAATAGTGTCATTCAACAAGAACACCGCCATACAATTAGATGGCATCTGTGTCTTTGAGGTAGAAACAAAATGTACTCTGGATTGCAGCATACAACCAAAGTGCGTCAGGTTTTTGTACGTCGTTTAATGAGGCGAATAGGCATACATGTATTGGCGCTTCACGCGAAATTGCTGCTTAAATGGACACAATGCAAGTCGGTGTCGTACACTGATGATCTCTTCTGAGTTTCATTGTCTTGTTTTCATCATCAGTCCCGTAGTTAATCAGCCACCACAGCTATCAACAATATGACTTTAGACCTTAGTAAACAACGCACGCAGGCTCTAAAATAGACAACACCGATATGCGCCAACCGCTGCGAGATAATGAATGAATGAATGAAGACCTTTATTGTACATTTTGCCCCACTGGGCTAAAGACAGGTCTTATATTGACAAAGTACATCAATGTTGATAATAAAACTGCTATAGTACACAAGTATTTTCAACTTCCTCTCGCTTTCTGGTAATCTTATAAATGCAGTTGGCTGTATGAGTATAATTACTTTTTCTCGCAATTCAGCAACTAGCAGAGCTAACACAACATTGAACACCAGTTTGACAATGAACAGTGTGCAATTATTGTATATACTGACCTTCATATTAATGTAAACAAAATGTGGTATTACAAACATCTAAATTATCTATCGAGTTAGATTTTTTACGTGTACCTCTATCACCGACCTATTTTAGCTGTCCTCTCTTTTCGTCCTCTACCGTCAAATGTTTGAGGAGAGAACGAAAAAGACTCGGCAGCTAGATAGCTTAAGACACCATGCTGTGGCAATATATCCTTGATATGTAACATATGGATTTAAAATGAAACGTTCAACTATATTCTAACAGGTATTAGAGACGGTAAATGATTCATTTTGAAATATTTGAAAATTGACGAATCTACTTCCTTTCGCGCGGTGGCAATTTTAGTCGTCAACAACAGAAAAAGCCATGACAAGTTCTGAAAGTTGCTCAAACAAGTTCAACATATAATCAGCTGAACGAAAAACCTCCGCCATTTTGAAGTAGACTTTGTGTAAACATTTTCCTTTGTAGTGATAGAGTCCGTAGACCAACATATTTATGTAATGAACAAATCAAAGATTCCGGTACAAGTCTTTTCTAAGTGTATGTCCCAGTGACTCACACTTCTTTAATATAGTGAGGAACGTGGCTATATACACTCCCGGAGTGTATATAAAATCTATTTGTCTTTTATATACACTCCCGGAGTGTATATAAAATCTATTTGTCTTTTAATATACACTCCGGGAGTGTATATAAGATCTATTTGTCTTTTATATACACTCCCGGAAAGTTGATAGGGCATTCGAATGATCTGTCGCCGGTGCGAAGACCGCGCGATCGGCTGTGTTATCCGGAGTCACCAAAGGGACCGGGGCGAACCCCGGGTTGGTCTTGGTCTGATAAATGCACGCCAGACCGTGAGGTCGGCGCTTCTTCCGCATGTATTAGCTCTAGAATTACCACAGTTATCCATGTAGGATGTGACGATCAAAGGAACCATAACTGATTTAATGAGCCATTCGCAGTTTCACTGAGACAGTTTAAACTTGCACGTGCATGGCTTAAACTTTGAGACAAGCCTATGACTACTGGCAGGATCAACCAGGTAGCGAGGACGCCAGGGGCGCGCGACCGGTCTCGCCGCCGCCGCCGGGAGCGGAGGGTCCCGGGCCCCGCGCAAGCGGGGCGGGGCGGTCCGCTCGACCGAACTTCGGTGGAGATTTCCGTGTTGTTTTCTGATTTTCATCATCCAATAAGATAAACTTGAAGACCGAGGTTTAAACTTGGTGCCCCTGAATCCTCAAACACTCACAAAAACCCAAGTTTTGGGCCTACCAAGGAGGCTAGTATTTCGGAGTGTATATAAAATCTATTTGTCTTTTATATACACACCGGGAGTGTATATAGCCACGGCGTATAGTGATTCTGGGGAGAATGCACTTAATTTTTTTTTGCAACGTTTCCCCGTCTTGTATCACCGCCTGGCCCATGCAAAGTGCAATAAGAACAAACATGTTGCCTTACCTTGGGATTCGTTGCTTCCGCCATGCTGGCACGACTCGGAAGTCAATCAGTTGCTCCAAAAGACTCTCCAAACTCTGCGCTGAAATCGTATGTCTAATTTTCGAGATAGTTACGACGGTTCTTCATCCTTGCAGTGATTTGTTCGGTGGCTAGCGCTCAAGGAAAGTTTAAGCTGTTGCATGTAAGACAACCCTCTAGTTCTGAGCCCTCCCACCTGATCCACAAGCGATCGTTTTTTCCAACCAATAGAAACTTGGCACACCGCTACGCTGGCCAACGTCCATCCAAAGGTTGTAGCCTTTGCGTTTTCGTCACGTGCCTAAGGCCTGACATAAGCAAAAAACATTCTTAGTACGTGACAACCATAATCTTAAGATTTACTGATTTACTCTTGATTGTAGGCATCAGATCCCTACAAAATTGTGCTGGAATTATGTAGTACTTGTGTGTGTGTTGATTTTATTGTAAAATATTCTCGCTCAAAGGTTCACAATAAGTTAATGCTTAACTGCGTGTAAACATTTGAGGCAGGTGGTGACGTCCTACAATTTTCTAACGGTTGACAAGGCCTAAACATCCCCTTAAAAATTCCGTTCAATTTTCGAGACAGCAATCTTATATGGGAGGTTGAAAGGGCTAAACTTGCCCTTCAAAGCATACCACGGTGGGGTCGTGTGGCGCAGCGGCAGCGTTCTCGACTCGGAACCAGAGGCCCCGGGTTCGAGTCCTGACATGCCACCGATCTTGTGCCCTTGGGAAAGGCACTTTACACGACTTTCCTCACTTCGCTCAGGTGTAAATGAGGGCCTGCAAGCCCTTTTTCGTAAGGCGTAATCAGGCCGTTTTAGATTTCGTAATTCGTAGGCAGCCTCCCAAAAATCCACGTAATTCGTAAGTGGACATTAGCCGCAAATTGTAAAGTCGTAATCAGCTCGTAATAGGCGGCAAAAATTTTGCGTAATTCGTAATCACTACCCTCCTTGCAGGCCCTCGTAAATGAGTATTGTACTGTCCCTGTGTTGGTGTCGGCATTAATATAAGTTGAAAAAACTCGAGTGTCTTGTGATTACATGTTTCGGAATAAAAAAAAAAGCATACCATAGTAATACGCCATCTTCGATACCAATATTTCATGGGGCTGATATCCCCACTTTGATATATGGGGGTTATATCGATTGTTTTAAGGTTTATACTGGATGGGTGGGGTGTAACAAATATGGATTGGTCAATACTCAGTAGATCAAGGACGCCACTTTCGTCGCTCTTCAAGACTTCTTGAAATTATAAGAAGTTATTCTCGTTCTGTGCAATCACACTCATCCTTTACAAAACGCTTGATCGTTGTAATCAGATTTGAATTATGTAGGGAATATAGCCTGTGAGGAGGGTAGGTAATAGACTTCGTATACTTCATATAGTAGAATACGTTATAAGGTGGGTATACAATACAGATCTTGTACATTACACACGATAATGCAATTGAATATATTGGTAACATATCTCTGGTAGCCTACGTGAGCCTACGTCAACATGGTCAAGGCTAGGTCAAAAGACGGCCTTTCCGCGTTTCGTGTGGGTTGCGCAATATGGCCCAGGGCTGTAACACTAACATTACCATTACCATTACCAATACCATTATCAAGAGTGTGTAATACGCCGAAGGACGAAGTATACAAATACAGATCAGTTTACTAGTAGGGACTGTTTGCGACCCTTAGTAGGTTATCCCATTGCGGAAAGTGGGGCAAAGTTGTGCGCATAATCCCCCCTTTCCGCAGTGGGATAACCCAGTGTCGCAAAAAGGGTTCCCTACTTATACAATGGTACAGCCCGGGGTCATATTGCGCAACCCACATGAAACGGCGGTCAGCTGAGCTGAGTCCAGGTATAACAATAGAGGTAGAGCCACTCTCCGTAATTAACACACCTAGTGAGCCGTGATGTGGGGCTGTGGACAGGGAACAAGACGCAGAACAAAGCCAGGTAAGTTTTTTGCCCATTTAAAGTAAGGTAACGCTGTGATTTTAGAAATTAAGACTAAATAAATGCCATGACTAGCAATGATCAAGCCCCCTTCTTCAGTTTGGCTACTAACTTAGTTAAGAAACTAAACTAAGATTCATGTCTGGAGAGGAGCTCAGAACTTCAGGGCTCTATCATAATAACGTTACATGTATGACATATATCAAAATAAAAATGCAGTATCAAGATATCAAGTCCATAATACATATCATAATTTTGTAAGTGCAGAATAATGACATTCAATTTTGTCAGGGATTGTACACAATTCGCGCCAAATGTATTGAGCCAGATGATAGAGTAGCCAGTCATTTGCATAATTAATGAGAACATGTTGAAATAAAGTATGACAAAGGAGAGGAATTTTGATGAATGAATGAAAAATATTGTAAATTTGAGTTTAGAAAACCATAAACTAGACTAGATTATGCTAATTACGACAAATAAAAAACATTTACAAAAACTCATATTTTATGGAGGTATGAGATCTCTGAATTCTTGTTTTACCTGCAAGTCTATGATATATTCTTTTCCTTAGGTTAAAGTTGAAGACTGTTCAAAGCAGGCAGAAATGAATCTCAGGCGCTGTTTTCGTGTCATCTTTTGTCCTGGCTTCGGAAGCGAGCTGAGGGCCTTGACAAGACTTGCTTGGCCAACTGTAAGTACTGTTACATCAAACTGCACATGCAGATTAGTATAGCCAGGGTAGATGGCATACTGTTTCCGCGCGTGTTTGTGTGTTTCCGCACATTTGAAGTCAGCATAACTTCAGAACGCCTTTATGGATTGTGATGATATTTGGTATGCTGGTAGGTCTTAGGAAGCCAAAGGTCAAGGTCAAATATGGGCCTCCTGGTGGCTGACCTTGGTACTGCAGCAGAACTTTTGTATTTTGAGGGAAAACAGATGCGCCGGTTGCTGTCAAAGACTACCTCTAATGCAAAGCACGTGTGGTCAGGCAGGACGCCTACCCTATTTGATTGATGAGGTTTTCCCTCTGGAATAGGCTACATGTACTGAGTTGACAGCCTGACCTATTTTAGGACAAAAACCTGACGTGTTATTTTGTTCTGTATGTTGTAGTCACAGTAGTGTACTGTGTAAAAACATTTACAAAAACTCATATATTTCATGGAGGTTTGAGATCTCTGAATTCGTTAGATTAGTGCATGTACATATACAGGTAGAATTTTTGCAGGTATATCTGATGTCTAACGGCTTAACACATGTAATTACTGCAACTTCTGAAGATCAAAAACATAAAAGACTCAGTCTCTTTTTGGTACATCACACAGGTTCAAGGATTGGATTCAACATTTTCTCTCTGCTTTCTGTTTTTTTTTTGTTTCATACGCTTAAAAAGGACCTGTGCTATGATATTGGTGTGGTCCAAGTCATTTTGTAAAGGTGTGATATATACTCTGTCCCCAGACTGTAGCATTTGTGCTGGAGTATGTCATGTGGATGATGCCCATCCTCTTCTGTGGCCACCTGGGCAAAATACAACTGGATGCAGTCACACTGGCTATTTCTGTAAGGATCTTAAAGTTTATTTATTTGTTAATCGGCATCTGTGATACACTTAGTATTTAGAGCATCATGATCATATATCACTAGAAATTTTTAAACAACTCCTGCAATTAAATAATAATAATAATAATAATAATAATAATAGTTTATTGACAACAATCCTTGTACATGGCAGCGTTTAAACCGCTGAATTGCGTACACAGGTTTAAAAACAAATAAACAATAAGGTGGGCTAAACAAACAAAGGACATTAACAAACTAGGTACAAACAACTTAAACAAATACTAGCTGTACGCAGTTATAAATTAGATATATAAGTGATTAAAAACAATATTGGTCCGGTACTGGGAGATTTCAACCTAGGTCTGCTTGTTTATTTAACAAATCAGTGAAATAGGGGATTGGGCTCGTTTTGTACCGCTTTGTTTTCGTCAAAGGGATGTCGAGTTGGTTTGCCCCCTTCAGGCATCTGCCATGGATGTCTGAGCGGGATGGGGGTAACCAATGTCGGAACGAAGGGGAGTTAAGGAGGGACTTTGCAAACTTAAGGCTAAGGGTTTCTCTTCTTTTCTCTAGGGACGGCAAACATAATTGGGCCAGGGCGATGTTGTAAGACGTGTACAGGGGGCCAAGGATTATCTTTACTGCTCGTTTTTGTATGCGTTCAATTTTTATTACTTGGAAATGTGGAAAGATGCAGTGTAAGAAGTCGTTTGGTGTGATATAGCTAGCTGCCGCCGTGCCGCGTGCATGTACAGCTGGTGTGTTATCGAAGGGCAGTTATACCGACTATACCAATACAGATACAGATACAGAAGCTTGCACCCAGGACATACAATTTCCTTACTGGCACCAACAATGCCCAACATGCAGGGATCTCTCAAGAACATTATAGTACAGTCATGTAATTTGTTGTTACTATATAGATGCCACAACAAGCAAATTTTTATGAATTTAAGCAAAATTACCTTTAAAGTTACCATATCTTTGAAAATTGAAAAGTTGTTTCTGAAAGTAAACATGGTTGTGCAACAGTATTCAGTTTCTTAGGGAGAGTCCTGCTTACTGGTTATGATGCTAATGATGTGATAATGATTTTGTGATGATAATAATGCTAATGATTAATCAAGTTTTTGTAGTTGATTTTACAAATTTTAAGTGCCTTTTTTTTTAGAGAGTTATTGATACCTTGATTCTTGACATCAATCATTTCTGTGTTTTTCAGGTTGTGAATGTGACTGGGATATCTCTGGGGATTGGCCTGTTAACAGCTTGTGACACCCTCATGGCACAGGTAAGGAACATGTTGTTTTATGTGCCAAGGCCACACCAAGTAAATTTTATGGATGACGTCTTTTGGAGACCCTAAATCTAATGCGAAAGGGCGAAAAAAAACAAGTAGGGCCCTAAAAAACAAGATGCCTAGATTAGAAATATACTAAGAGATGACAAATGTTAGGACACAAATTGAATGA